GGGGGGGGAGGTGGAGAGAGAGAGAAGAAATTAGTGGGGCATCCCAAGGAGGAACAATGTCCCCATGGCCTCACCCCTCAACCCCTCACCCTATCATGCCACCTTACTCCTGGGGCCACCACCACAATTGCCACCCATTGTCAAAGAGAGCAGGACGGGGAGGTGAGGCCCTGGCTGGGCTACAGGGTTGGGGGCCACAGCTGGGGAGAGCTGGGGGGAGGGAGGGGTCCCTGGCTCCCAGCCCAGAGCAATTTAGTAAATCAGAGGAAATACTGTCCCTCATCCTGTGTACACACACACACAGCCCTCCCACATTTCTGTTGAACACTGGATGGCTGGGTTGGAGGGTCTGGAAGCCCAGGCTCCTGGGACTGAGGCAGGAGGGACGGGACCCTGACTCTAGGGTCTGAAGGAGGATGGAACTGGCAGAACTGGACTCTAGGGTCTGAGGGAGGTTGGTGGCTGGGGATCTAGATTTTGGGGTCTGAAGGAGGAGGGGGCTGGGGATCTAGATTTTGGGGTCTGAGGGAGGAGGGGCCTCGGAACCTGGACTCCTGGCTGGGGGAGAGGGGAGGGGGCCAAGTATGTGCTCCTGGTTCCCACAGATGAACTAAAGCAGACACACTAGAAGCTTCCTACAAGGGCAAGGGTCCAGCCAGGGCAGGGTTCTTTCCGGCTGTCAATCAGGCTCCTGTCCGGTTGTCATGGTAGCACTGGCCTGGTCCACTGATAGCCAGCCAGGGTGGGGGAGAAGACCCACACCCCCTTCCCCCACCTGCCTCCAGGCTTCAGCTCTCTTCCCCTGGAGCCATTGTTTCCCCAGGGATGGGGGTGCCCCCACCCCCAGTAGCCCATCCTTCCCAAATCTTCGGTCCCTGGCCCCTCCTCTCTGCTGCCCTTCCCCAAGCAGCTGGCTCAATCAGTGCTCAGAATAGCCCCCCTCCCTTCCACCCCAAAATAACCCACAGCTGTGGCCTGGCCCCCGCGGGGTTAACCCTCCCTCTCTCCAGCCCTGCCTGGTGGTGGCTCACCCCTCAGCACCTCCCCAGAAAGGGACATCCCACTCCTGCCTGGCCTCTGCCTTTGGGGATCCCAGCCCAACCTTCTCAGGAGACTATAGGAAATCGCCAGTCCTCAGTCCACCCATACAGTGGTCGAAAGCGCATCCCCACCACCACCACCAGCACCACCCCACAACCCCATTTCTGCCCTGTCAGAGACTCAGGACACTGGGTCCCCAACCTCTCCCCACTGGAAACCCAAGGCCTGTCCTCCAACTTCTCCCAGAAAGACCCAAAGTGCTGGCTCTTATCTCTGGCCCCTCCTTTCTCCCACTCAGAAGTCCCAGTTCCCGGCACCTCCCAGACCCCCAGCTCTCTCCTCTCAGACCCAGGGCTCCTGACTTCACAGTCCACTCTTCCCTCAGATCAAAGAGTCTGGACTCCCACCAC